GGCTCAGTGTAATATCACTTCAAAGCTTTTCATCCTAGTGGAACCTTGAGCCCAGCCAGGGAACATGGCCCACTTCTCTTACACAGACACGGAGGTTTCTGCCATGTTGGGCAGGTCCTTTCTCCGGAAAGCAGGGGCTCTTAACTTGGGATCTATGTGGAGTTAGGGCTTGAGGGGGCCTGTGAATCCCCTGAAATTACTTGCATGCTCCTCTAGGAAGAAGATCTATTTGTGTTCATGATCCAAAAAAGCTTAAAAAATAACTATTCTAGCTTTGCTCTGATCTTTTGACACAAAGGGTGTTGGAAGAAACTTGGTCTTGGGAGTGAGATGGATTTCCATTTGAATTGTCTCTGATAGATTTTAGCCATGTAACACTGGGCAGGCTGTGAACCCTCTCTGAATCTCCATTTTCTCAAATGTAGAACAAGGGTAAGAATGCCTATTTTAAGGTTACAGTGACTGGTAGATTAAATAACAAGTAATTTTTATTCTCCTTTTCATCCCATGAATAAAATGAAAGCAAGTATCTGTTCTGTCTTGTTCCTTGTTGGGTCTTTGCATCTATGACGGTGCCTTGCACACAGCAGGCACTCAAGTGTTGGTTGGATGGATAGCTGGATGGCTGGAGTGCCTTGGTTTCGTACCCAGATGAAGTCTGTCAGTCGACGCTTCCTCGAAGCACTGATTTTCTAAGAGAAATCTGTCTTGCTAAGACCCTCCCAGGACATGTGCTGTATGTCCTTTGCAAAATCTTTCTGGATACTATGACAAGGTGAGATAGACCTTGTTATCCTGTGCTGAAAATCATGGTCTTTGCTGGGCCTTTGTCTATATCAGGGCTGGGCAACTAGCCTGTAGGCCAAATCTGGCATGTTGCCTGTTTTTGTAAATAAAGTTTTCTGGGTTTTTTAATGAATTTATTTATTCATTTATTTAGTTTTGGCTGTGTTGGGTCTTTGTTGCTGAGCGCGGGCTTCTCATTGCAGTGGCTTCTTTTGCTGCGGAGCACAGGCTCTGGGCAGTAGTTGTGGCACATGGGCTCAGTAGTTGTGGCTCATGGGCTCTAGAGCGCCGGCTCAGTAGTTGTGGCACATGGGCTTAGTTGCTCCACGGCATGTGGGATCTTCTTGGACCAGGGCTTGAACTCCTGTCCCTTGCTCTGGCAGGTGGATACTTAACCACTGTGCCACCAGGGAAGTCCTGTAAATAAAGTTTTATTGGAATGTAGCCAGGCTCATTGATTTACATGTTGTCTCTGACTGCTTTTGTGCTATAGCAGCGTTGAGCACAGAGACCGTATGGTCTTCAAAGCCTAAAATATTTTTTGTCTACCTCTTTATGGAAAAAGTTTTCCAACCCCTGATATATATTTTCTGTACTCTTTACTATAACCCTGCAGGATTGGTCTTAAGATGCCCTTGCTATGGATTGGGAAGCTAAGATTTTTTAAAAAATATTTATTTATTTATTTATTTGGCTGCGTTGGGTCTTTGTTGCTGCGCTTAGGCTTTCTCTAGCTGTGGAGAGCTGGGGCTACTCTTCGTTGCGGTGCAGTGGCTTCTCTTGTTGCGGAGCACGGGCTCTAGGCGCACGGGCTTCAGTAGTTGTGGCACATGGGCTCAGTAGTTGTGGCTTGCGGGCTCTAGAGTGCAGGCTCAGTAGTTGTGGCACATGGGCTTAGTTGCTCCGTGGCATGTGGGATCTTCCCAGCCCAGGGATCAAACCCATGTCCCCTGCATTGGCAGGCAGATTCTTAACCCCACTGCGCCTCCAGGGAAGTCCAGGAAGCTAAGATTCAACAGAGTTAAGTATATTAACTGAGATTGAACAATTTATAATTGTTAGGGTTTGAATCCAGGTCTGTGTGATTCCACAGCCCATAGTCCTTCCACTAAATGGTGATACCTTGCAATTAAACCCAAACCTAGCTGAACCAATTACATCTTCCAGTCCTTCCTGGTGACCACGACTGGCATGGGGAACAGTTCAATGATGTCCCCTGGAATCGTGGTGGGACCTGGTAGTCCTGGCATTTGTCAGCAATCTGTTTCCGGTCTGCAATAGAAATTGTGTGAATGTAGAAGTAGGTAAGAGTGGAATGAGGATTTCAAGGACTGGTACTGTCAATGGCAGAGCAATGTGAGCATGCTGTTGTTTATCTGCAAACATAATGCTGCTCCCTAAGGGTCGGGTGTTCAGCATTCTAGGAAGGTCCTTGTTGCTGCTGAATGTGGCATCCACTCTCGTTTGGTGCCTTGGATGAGAAATGTGTAATACGTGTGCATTTTCAGCACACAACCACTCAACAGAGACTTTCACTGGCCCAGGCTATGAGACTGTTAAGAGTTTGGGACATCGACACTTGCTCACTGCTATCATGCCCTCATTGGCAGATCTGACTCCAAAAACTGGAGATGAAAGTTCTTTCACAGTGAATTAAGCCTGGTGGAAATTTGATTGTTTCAAGGGTTTCCAGATGAAGTTCTATGGCTCTTCTGTTAATTCCTCCATCAGCCCATTATTGCTAATTCTCACTTGACTTTCACCCTTCCAATTAATTTTTCTAAGCTTGTAAACTGGTTGTGATTAAATAAAAGAAACAAAATTGGGAAAATTAGCTATTCCTGCTTTAACTGACTGCATAGCAGTGTTTGCCTTGAAACTGAGAGAAACTGACGATAACCGTAAGAGTGACAAAATTATAGCCACCCAACTGGAAGTAACACAGTTGGGTAACTTATCCACCTGTCAAAGGATGTACTAATGAAAAATGGCTGTAGTGTGAATCAATTTTCATATAAAAGTGGGATATTGTAACTTCGGGATAGAAGAATTAGGAGGGCTTAATGCTCTTTCCGATAGTCTGGTTTTGTTCTTTGTGGCCAGCGTTAGGGGGAGTGTCTGGTACTCTCTCAATCTGTCATGGAGCTGCTGATGGAGGATTCCATGGAAAAGCTGCAGGGTGCACAGGAAGGAATCAGAGCTATAATGAACTTTCTGTTTCACTGTGTTCTGCAACAGTGACCCTTATTCCTCCAACCACTACTGTAGTCTTACCCTGTGGCTTTCATACTCTCTAAAGTCAATGAATCTTTCAGTTTATGCTGAAAATATAAAACAGATAAAAGTGGGGCTGCTCTGGTTTAAGTGAGGGTGGAGGAACCTGGTAAAACTAAGTAACATTTCATTTGTTGTGCCATTGTAACTCTGTGGGGAAATAATGGGTTGATTAAAATTCTTGATCTATTGTTTAATTATTTAGAGTGAATGCTTCTTACCGAAAAATAGATTTCTCTTTGTAGCCTTTTTGGTTTATTCCTAACATATTTTAGGGCCCAGTTATTTTTTTCTTAAGCTTCAAAATATACAAATAGTTCTCAAGCCATTTTTTTTGTCTTTCACTTGACGCCAGGTACTTCTCATGGATCAAAGCTGTTGATGGTTTGTTTGTATTTCTGTCTTGGAAACATGTTTATATGGAATCTAAAAAAAAAGAAATGGTTCTGAAGAACCTGGGGGCAGGACAGGAATAAAGCCGCAGACATAGAGAATGGACTAGAGGCACGGGGAGGGGGAAGGATAAGCTGGGACGAAGTGAGAGTGGCATGGACTTATATACACTACCAAATGTAAAATAGATAGCTAGTGGGAAGCAGCTGCATAGCACAGGGAGATCAGCTCGGTGCTTTGTGACCACCTAGAGGGCTGGGATAGGGAGAGTGGGAGGGAGATGCAAGAGGGAGGAGATATGGGGATATGTGTATATGTATAGCTGGTTCACTTTGTTCTACAGCAGAAACTAACACACCATTGTAAAGCAATTTTACTCCAATAAAGATGTTAAAAAAAAAAAAAAGAATCCATCACAGGGACTTCCCTGGTGGCACAGTGGTTAAGAATCCGCCTGCCAATGCAGGGGAAATGGGTTCAATCCCTGGTCCAGGAAGATTGCACATGCTGTGGAGCAACTAAGCCTGTGCTCCACAACTACTGAGCCTGCGCTTTAGAGTCCATGAGCCACAACTACAGAGCCCGTATGCCACAACTACTAAGCCCACGTGCCACAACTACTGAACCCCACGTGCCCTAGGGCCTATGTGTGGAAACTACTCAGCCTGTGGGCTGCAACTACTGAAGCCCTCCCACCTAGGGCCTGTGCTCCGTGACAAGAGAAGCCACTTCAATGAGAATCCCCCTCTCGCCACAACTAGAGAAAGCCTGAGCAGCAACAAAGACCCAGCGCAGCCAAAAATAAAATAAATAAAAAAAATAAAAATAATCCATCACAAAATTTAGGTCTCCCTGATGGAGACTAAAGGGCAAATTCATAAATTATAAGTGATTATTGAACAATTTGAATTGGGGAAGAAATTGACAAGTGCATCAAATTTCAGTTTATATCCATGAGGCAGAGTAGTGGTGGTGATGCCCTCATTTGCCAGGTCGGGGAGAGGAATGAACAAGGCATAGAAATCTAAATAAACAGTGTTTTCTAGAGTTATACACCCCAGGTGTACTGAGTACAGGCAATTATATTACTTCTGGAAAGAGCAGGGCGTGTTCATGGACTGGTAAGGGACTTACCACGTCATGATTAGTTCACCAAAACAATTGTTTGAGAGTACTTGTGTATGTTTTCTCTGTAGCCATCCTAAGAAAGTGAGCTGCTGATATGCTGTTGTTTTTTTTTTTTTTTGGTCGCACAGCGCGGCTTGAGGAACTTTAGTTCCCCGACCAGGGATCGAACCCTCTGCAGTGAAAGTGTGGAGTCCTAACCACTGGACCGCCAGGGAATTCCCATGATATGCTATGATTTCTGCACAGCTTTTTTTTTTTTTTTTGGCTGTGTTTTTAAAAATCCATGTGCAGTTTCATTATTGGTCATAGTTTTGTGTACGTGTGTGGCGGTATTTGGGGGTGGGTGTACATAAGGCTTGGATCACTTGACTGCCAGCGTTGCTGAGCTCACATGTTGTCCTTATTTATGTGTTTGCCAGGGAGAAATGCCTGCTGCCTCTCCAGTTGGCTTTGGAATCCAAGAATGTGAAGCTGGCCCAACATGCCTTGGCAGGGATACAGGTATGGCTCTGAGTGCAACAGGATGACAGAAATTGACAGACCACTTTGGCATTGAAAGAGCAAATAGTTAACATTCTAAATACTAGCTGTTTAAAGACCCAGACAAAAATTTGATGGAACTGGGTAATAACCAGAGAAGATAACAGGATTTTCTTGTATTTACCAGCATTTCTCTGTGTACAGCATTATCTTGCTAAACATTTGTTGTTCAGACACTGACTCATGGCGACTCAGCTAAGCCCACACAGGAATGAAATGGTTTGTGTGACACCAAACTTTTAACATAGTAAGGGCTCCCAAGAGAGATGCTTCCAGTTCTATACCAACTCAAATCTTATATGCATTCAAGTTCTCTGGGTCGGTGTCATGAGCAATGATGGTAAGCTGGAAAGAGTTTGTTTTGTTTTCTGTTCTACAGTTAGGTTGGCGAATGGATTAATGTGTTTTGTTTCCAGAACAAGATTGGGAAGAAGAAAGAAATTTTGTGTAGTCAGAAAAGTCAGATTGCACAAATGCATTTCCTGCTCTGAGCATTTGTTCATTTTGTTTTACACCGTACATAATAGGTCTAATTCCAAAGGTTTAAAGTTGTTGGCTGTATAGATACATTGACTTCTTAAGTGGTTTGGTATGTGAATGACAAGTACTGTGGAGTTCAAGCCTACGGGGTATTCTTTCAGCATGACCAGGGCTTGGTGGCATTTGTTGGATGTCTTCTCACATTACTGTTTCATCGTTAGCTCTTTAAGTTCAGAGAGGTCTCTAATACCTTTAGAGAAATAAATATGAAAGAGTAAGAAAATTACAACTCTTTTTTTCCCTAGAAGATTGGAATTAGAGGATGTTTATCTCAATATGCAATAGCATTAGAAATTCTTAAACATTAAAAAAAATTTTAAACAAACAATGAAAACTTTTATCCAAAGTAATTGGGCCAACTTTAAAAATGAATGGGGGACTTCCCTGGTGGCGCAGTGGTTAAGAATCCACCTGCCAATAGGGAACACGAGTTTGAGCCCTGGTCCGGGAAGATCCCACATGCCACGGAGCAACTAAGCCTGTGCGCCACAACTACTGAGTTTAGAGCCCGCAAGGCACAACTACTGAGCCCATGTGCCACAACTACTGAAGGCCACACGCCTAGAGCTCGTGCTGCGCAACAAGAGAAGCCACCGCAGTGAGAAGCCCACGCACGGCAATGAAGAGTAGCCCCTGCTCGCTGCAACTAGAAAATGCCCTTGCAAAGCGACAAAGAACCAAAGCAACCAAAAATTAATTAAATAAATAAAAAAAAAAAAAAAAGAATGGGAGTTTGTTTTGACCTGCCACTATGTTCCCTTTTCTTTAGTAGTATATAGATTTTCCATTTAGTTAATTTTTTTTTTAACCCTCAAACACTCTAAGTTACAGTATCATGTTTTCAATAATCGTGGGAACTTCACTGATCTGGGGGGCAGGGAGTCTTCCTCTCAGCATCCCTTGTGACCTCCCATTAACTTAAGGCATTTTTAAAGAGCTTTCTAGTCTTTATCACTTTAAGTAAAAACAGGTTTGTATATAAACTAACTCTGGGCTGCCCTACATATATTACAGGAGAGTCAAAAATCTCTTTTGAGAGAATACCTCAGAGATATTGTGGGTTCAGTTCCAGACCACCATAATAAAGCAAATATTAGAGTGAGCCACATGAAGTTTTTGATTTTCCAGTGCATATAGAAATTATGTTTACACTATACTGTAGTCTCTTAAGTGTGCAATAGCATTATGTCTAAAAAAATGTACATACCTTAATTAAAAAATACCTTATGGGTAAAAAGTGCCAACATCATTTGATCCTTCAGTCAGCTGTAGCAGTAACATCAAAGATCACTGATCACAGATCATCGTAACAAATACAGTAATAATGGAAAGGTTTAAAATATTACCAGAATTACCAAAATGTGACAGAGACACGATGTGGGCAAATGCTATTGAAAAAATGGGGCCAATAGACTCGATTGACGCACGGTTGCCACAAACCTTCAATTTATAAAAAACACAGTACCTGTGAAGTGGAGTAAAGCTAAGTGCAATAAAATGAGGTATAGCTGTATAGACAAATTCAGGGAGTCCTAAGAAGAAGGTTTAAAATACTTGTTTTCCGGATCTGCAGTGACATTCAGCTAGAAGAGGGAGTCATTACCCTGGATGAATCAGAATTCCAGAAATTCTTCATGGCTGCAACCCTATGCTGCATCAGACAAGGACATATTTAATAGGGATAAATATAAAATCCGTCCTACACTGGGGTCTCAAAAACCAATTGCCCCAGGACAGAATAGGGAAGAACAGCTTAACTGCAGCCCTTGTGAATGAGAAGTTTCTGGGTGAGTCAGCACAGAATGTGCTGTGACTTAGAACTAAGCTAATTTGATCTGAGAATGTGATTAAACTTCTGCATTACTGTTTTTTGTTTGGTTTTAGGCAATAAACAGATTTAATTATCTTACACAACTAGAATTATACAGGTAAGCAATTCCAGGTTTGGAATAGGAAAGCAATGGTGCCACCAAAGACCACATTTCTTTCTTTCCCCTCTGCCATCTTTTTATTCTTCTTCTTCTTAAAAGACTTATTTTAGAGCAGTTTTAGGTTTAGAGTAAAATTGAGAGGAAGATGCAGAAATTTCCCATATACTCCCTCCCCCCACACATGCATAGCCTCCCACAGCATCAACATCACTCCCAGAATGGTACTTTTTTTTTTTTAACCAAGGATGAACCTACATTGACACATCATAATCACCCAAAGTCCATACATTTACCTTCATATGCACTGTCGGGTGCCCCCGCTCTGTACCAGAAGACCACCCTTGAAGTGTTACATGCGCACTGGAGGCCACATGTTAAGGAGGAGAGAACATCCGATGGCTCCCGAGGAGGTTTAGTGTGGAGAAGAAGAGATTTAGGTGGACTTCATAGCTGACTTGAGATATTTCAGAAGCTTAATCTGCGTGACTCCAGGGACAGATGAGGGCATAGAGGTGGCAGGCAGTGGGGTTTTGGTACAATCTCAGAAAGAATTTTATGAAAAGTAAGAATTGTTCTCACATAGAGGAGAGCTATCCTGCAAGATGTAATGACTTCTGGGAAACATCATGAAAGTGACTGTCGTCTTGTGTAGGTTTTTGTGGGATTGATTTTCTGATGGAATGGTATTAAGATTTGTAGATTCATGAATAATTCCTGGGTAAATGACAGCTCACATTAGGAAGTACAAAGGTAAATATTTGAAAAATTAACTCGTCTCCAGGACCTTCTCCTTTCCTGTGGCAAAGCTACATTCAGAACGGGCAAGTGTAGGGCTTCCCTGGTGGCGCAGTGGTTAAGAGTTCGCCTGCCATTGAAGGGGACACGGGTTCAAGCCCTGGTCTGGAAAGATCCCACATGCCGTGGAGCAACTAAGCCCGTGTGCCACAACTACTGAGCCTGCGCTCTAGAGCCTGCGCGCCTAGAGCCCGTGCTCCGCAACAAGAGAAGCCACCGCAATGAGAAGCCCAAGCACTGCAATGAAGAGTAGCTCCCGCTCACTGCAACTAGAGAAAGCCCGCGCGCAGCAACGAAGACCCAACGCAGCCAAAAATAAAGCAGATTAAAAACTTAAAAAAAAAAAAAAAGGCAAGTGTGAATGTTGTGAGGGGCTACATTCCCCTTGGCACATTTGTCCTCCGTCCCCACCAACCAAATGACCTGCAGTTAGAACTGCACTTCATAAAATTTAGAGTGAATTATCTAATAGCAAGAAAAAGCCTCTGCCAAAAACCGTTTACCAAAGGCTTGGTGCATTTTTCTTTTTAATGGCACATAGCAGCAGCTCCTCCTAATGGCCTCCAGCTATATGCCTCCACAGTAAGAAACATTATCCTCAGTACATGCTAAGCTACAACAGAATGAGGCAGCAGGGGAAAGCCTATCTGATCACTGCCTTGTGCCTCTTTACAGAAGCTTCTGGCGGAAGAGAGGTTTGTATCCATGGAAACGGACTCTGATGAGAAGCAGCTGCTCAATCAGATCCTGAACACCGTGAAAGTGACGCCTTCCCTCCACGAAGACCTGCAGGTGGAAGTGATGAAGGTGGGTTGGACGCGGCTCCCGGTTTGCGTCACTGGGATGGGAACAAACGCTGATGCTCCCGCCCTCATTGTTATCCTGAAAACGCCTCCGCGTGGTGGTTTGGAATACATGGTTATTATCCTCGCTTAGGATGCCCTAGAATAACCTTGATCGTTGAACGGAAATGACAACGATCATTTCCGTTCAACGTAAGTAAAAAGGTACGATTTCAATAAATCCGTAAGATTTTTGGCCTCATCTTGCGCATCAAATGTTGTTAGCAAATGTTTCTGTGGCCGTTTGAGAGAATGTATGTGAGTAGCTGCAGCTTGGGGTAGATCTGATCGTTCTAGGCATCCTGCCTGCCTGTATATGGTAAAACAAAGACCTAATGACGTTTTGACATATACTAAGGTCATAGAATAGTCAGTTTAAGGGAAGGGAGACCATCCTTGGGAGCCATATCAGAATCACAGCTTTATTTCCGTCCTCAAATTATGTGAACCTTATCTCCCACATGGGATAGCGTCTCTGCCATCCCTTTCCCCCCTTTTTTCCCTCCTGTGAGTGAACAGTGAGTTGGGCAGAAAAGGATGGAAATCTCTGTCCCAGAACAGCAGCCTGGTCAGAGTAACACAGCTGGAACCCATGAGGTGGCTTTTGATCACGTCATCTGTCCATTTCCTCCCTAGAGGAGTGTGTGTAGAGAAATGTGTAAGAGTAGTTGCTGTCATATAATGGTTGATTTCTTCCTGGAAATGCACTGAAGGATTTTTATCTTTGATAAGAGATGTCACTTTTCCAGCTTTCAGTTTCTCCATTGAGAAGAGAAAAGATCAACTTCAATCATGACATTGTCTTAATGCCCTGCGTCTCCCCCTAGCCCTGTTGGTAGGTAATTTAGTGTAGTGATTAAGAGCTCAGACTTGGAAGCCAGCCTGTCTGGCTTTGAATACTTATTCACTTCCTAGTTGGATTTCCTTGGACAGATTCCTGAACCACTCTGTGCTTTGGTCTCCTCATCTGGAGAAAGGGGGAAATAGAAGCACCTACCCAATAGGACTATTGTGAGGATTAAGTAAGGTGCTAGTTGTATCTGGCCCAAAGCAAGTGCTTTAGAAGTGTTGTACATGACTATTTCTATTCCTACTACTTCTGCTACCACTGTGTACTGCTGCGGAGTCATAATCTCAGTGGGTGGGTCTAGGAATATTGTTATACACAGTAAACACTGAGAATCTCTGAGCTAACTGATCTTTAAGCTCTCATTGACTTTAACTGTCTTTGATTCTGGAATATCCAGTTTTGCCTTATCCTTTGACATACATTGGGCAGCTGTGCATTCCTAGGAACCGAAGAGTAACTGCCTCTTAGATTTGTTTTACTTTTCTGCTACCTCTGTGCCACCATTGAGAGAGGCAAGGCCCACTGCCATATTCATTGCTTTTATGACTTTCAAGTCTAGCCTGTTGATCCTTCTTCCACTAATAGGTCTCCAAATACTGGAGGTTGAGTGTTGATGTCATACTAAGAGACACACCTTACAGATTTCATATTATTCTGGAAATTCTCCCAGGAATACAGCTTTTCATGGAAAATAGGAATTTGTATTAAAAATTAAAATGAGAAAGTACCTATTCTTCTAGGAGCTATGGCAGGATGTTTAATGGTTATGTCAACAGAAACACCTGTTCTAAAAACTTACACTTGCTTTCTAATTCCAGCCCAGTGGTGCCTTCTGCTAGCCTTGCTGAGGACAGGAGTTGACACATGTTAGCTCTGCTGGAAATCCTGGAAAGCCTGTCTTAATGGACTTTCTAATGATACTATACTAGACTGTGGTACTTGTAGTTAATGTCTGGGAATAGATCAGACATTGTCAGAAGAAAAGAAAAACAATAATCTGGGCTGCCATTCTTCAAAATTAGATATCCAAAAGATTTTTGAAACATAAGGGCCTTTGGTACATGCTGCTGTTTTTAAACATTTAAACATTGTTGGTATTGGGGAAAAAATATTTCAATTCACGATAAACCTAGCCTTAACATAGTTTTTTTGTAGTATACGTTTATTTTAGACAAACATTTTTGGCCACACAGCTAGGAAATTAATGATGAGAAAACTGTACTTTACAGTAATACTATTATTATTATTTTTAACATCTTTATTGGAGTATAATTGCTTTACAATGGGGTGTTTGTTTCTGCTTTATAACAAAGTGAATCAGTTATACATATGTCCCCATATCTCTTCCCTCTTGCATCTCCCTCGCTCCCACCCTCCCTATCCCACCCTTCTAGGTGGTCACAAAGCACCGAGCTGATCTCCCTGTGCTATGCGGCTGCTTCCCACTAGCTATCTATTTTATGTTTGGTGTGTATGTATGTCCGTGCCACTCTCTCACTTTGTCTTAGCTTACCCTTCCCCCCCATCCTCAAGTCCATTCTCTAGTAGGTCTGCATTTTTATTCCCGTCGTGCCCCTAGGTTCTTCATGACCATTTTTTTTTTCTTAGATTCCATCTATATGTGTTAGCATACGGTATTTGTTTTTCTCTTTCTGACTTGCTTCACTCTGTATGACAGTATCTAGGTCCATCCACTTCACTACAAATAACTCAGTTTCATTCCTTTTTATGGCTGAGTAATATTCCGTTGTATATATGTGCCACATCTTCTTTATCCATTCATCTGTTGATGGATACTTCGGTTGCTTCCATGTCCTGGCTATTGTAAATAGAGCTGCATTGAACATTTTGGTACATGACTCATTTTGAATTATGGTTTTCTCAGGGTATATGCCCAGTAGTGGGATTGCTGGGTGATATGGTAGTTCTGTTTTTAGTTTTTTAAGGAACGTCCATACCGTTCTCCATAGTGGCTGTATCACTTTACATTTCCACCAGCAGTGCAAGAGGGTTCCCTTTTCTTCACATCCTCTCCAGCATTTACTGTTTGTAGATTTTTTGATGATAGCCACTCTGACCTCTGTGAGGTGATATCTCATTGTAGTTTTGATTTGCATTTCTCTAATGATTAATGATGTTGAGCATTCTTTCATATGTCTGTTGGCAATCTGTATATCTTTGGAGAAATGTCTATTTAGGTCTTCTGCCCATTTTTGCATTTGGTTGTTTATTTTCTTGATATTGAGCTGCTTGTAAATTTTGGAGATTAATCCTTTGTCAGTTGCTTCATTTGCAAATGTTTTCTCCCATTCTGACGGTTGTCAATTCATCTTTTTTATGGTTTCCTTTGCTGTGCAAAAGCTTTTAAGTTTCATTTGGTCCCATTTGTTTATTTTTGTTTTTATTTCCCTTTCTCTAGGAGGTGGGTCAAAAAGGATCTTGCTGTGATTTTTGTCATAGAGTGTTCTGCTTATGTTTTCCTCTAAGAGTTTCATGGTGTCTGGCCTTAAATATAGGTCTTTAATCCATTTTGAGTTTATTTTTGTGTATGGTGTTAGGGAGTGTTCTAATTTCATTCTTTTACATGTAGCTGTCCAGTTTTCCCAGCACCACTTATTGAAGAGGCTGTCTTTTCTCCACTGTATATTCTTGCCTCCTTTATCAAAGATAAGGTGACCGTATGTGTGTGGGTTTATCTCTGGGCTTTCTATACTGTTCCATTGATCTATATTTCTGTTTTTGTGCCAGTACCATACTGTCTTGATTACTGTAGCTTTGTAGTATAGTCTGAAGTCAGGGAGTCTGATTCCTCCAGCTCCATTTTTCGTTCTCAAGGTTGCTTTGGCTATTCGGGGTCTTTTCTGTTTCCATACAAATTGTGAAATTTTTTGTTCTAGTTCTGTGAAAAATGCCAGTGGTAGTTTGATAGGGATTGCATTGAATCTGTAGATTGCTTTCGGTAGTACAGTCATTTTCACAATGTTGATTCTTCCAATCCAAGTACATGGTATATCTCTCCATCTATTTGTATCATCTTTAATTTCTTTCATCAGTGTCTTATAATTTTCTGCATAAAGGTCCTTTGTCTCCTTAGGTAAGTTTATTCCTAGATATTTTATCCTTTGTGTTGCAATGGTAAATGGGAGTGTTTTCTTGATTTCACTTTCAGATTTTTCATCATTAGTGTATAGGAATGCAAGAGATTTCTGTGCATTAATTTTGTATCCTGCAACTTTCCCAAAATCATTGTTTAGCTCTAGTAGTTTTCTGGTAGCATCTTTAGGTTTCTCTATGTGTAGTATCATGTCATCTGCAAACAGTGACAGCTTTATTTCTTCTTTCCCAATTTGGATTCCTTTTATTTCTTTTTCTTCTCTGATTGCTGTGGCTAAAACTTCCAAAACTATGTTGAATAAGAGTGGTGAGGTGGGCAACCTTGTCTTGCTCCTGATCTTAGTGGAAATGGTTTCGGTTTTTCACCACTGAGGATGATGTTGGCTGTGGGTTTGTCATATATGGCCTTTAATATTTTGAGGAAAGTTCCCTCTATGCCTACTTTCTGGAGGGTTTTCATCATAAATGGGTGTTGAATTTTGTTGAAAGCTTTCTCTGCATCTATTGAGATGATCATATGGTTTTTCTCCTTCAATTTGTTAATATGTGTAGCATGTTGATTGATTTGCATATATTGAAGAATCCTTGCGTTCCTGGGATAAACCCCACTTGATCATAGTGTATGATCCTTTTAACGTGCTGTTGGATTCTGTTTCCTAGTATTTTGTTGAGGATTTTTGCGTCTATGTTCATCAGTGATATTGGCCTGTAGTTTTCTTTCTTTGTGACATCTTTGTGTGGTTCTGGTATCAGAGTCATGGTGGTCTTGTAGAATGAGTTTGGGAGTGATCTGCCCTCTGCCATATTTTTAAGAGTTTGAGAAGGATAGGTGTTAGCTCTTCTCTAAATGTTTGATAGAATTCGCCTGTGAAGCCATCTGGTCCTGGGCTTTTGTTTTTTGGAAGATTTTAAATCACAGTTTCAATTTCAGTGCTTGTGATTGGTCTGTTCATATTTTCTATTTCTTCCTGGTTCAGTCTTGGAGGGTTGTGCATTTCTAA